AATTACACTCCTCATCTCCTCGCTCCTTCGTCTCCGTGCTCCTCACAGTAGCGCACCGTGACATATGAAGGCTGCTGCTCTCAGCAGAATCTTTATGCACTGCATGTGTATGTGTGTTGCGTATGACCGCATGTGTGCACCTGCTTGCGCTCTAACTGGGGATCATCTTAGAGCCATGCATATGGGGAAGTCGTGGCCTAATGGTTAGAGAGTCGGACTCGTAACCCAAAGGTTGCGGGTTCGAGTCTCGAACCGGCAGGGATTGTAGGTGGGGGGAGTGAATGTACAGCGCTCTCTCCCACCTTCAATACCACGACTGAGGTGCCCTTGAGCAAGGCACCGAACCCCCAACTGCTCCCCGGGCGCCGCAGCAAAAATGGCTGCCCACTGCTCCGGGTGTGTGTTCACGGTGTGTGTGTGTTCACTGCTGTGTGTGTGCACTAAGGATGGGTTAAATGCAGAGCACTAATTCCAAGTATGGGTCACCATACTTGGCCACATGTCACGTCACTCGTCACTCACTCATGAAGGTCATTTATATTCACACATGTATATTCATATACAGATGTGTACTTGAGGATTATGCTTAAAGAGCTGGATAATGTACAGAGTTTTTATTATGGCCCTGTGTGGCCCCCAGGCCCTCTGGTGAATAAACACAAAATAAGATCCAGAAGTGTGTGAAAATGATTGAAATTTTCAGTAAGGCAGAATCGAGCAATGTGATGATTTGTGGATTTTCCTAAGGCAAAGCAGTGAGCATTAATAAAACATAAATATGAATAAGTATTCTCCTTTTCTAGGTGTGTATGTGTGTGAGAGCGCACATCTTTTGCTTTTTTGACTGATGAGAAAATGCCTCTCGCCCCAAAGCACAAACTCGTTCTTGAAATTCATCTATTGTGTGTATTATCCCCATAAACCCTATTTCATGCTATGAGTGTTTGCATTTCAAATCATGCTGTGAGAGCTCTGACATACTTGCAAACACAAAAAACACAGAAAGTCTTTCATTTACCTTGATGGTTTATCATTAGAGTGAAAGCGGTACGATACCCTACAGCCCCAAATAAACCAACGGACACAAACAAACAGTAGTACAAATGTGTCTAAGATTTGATTACTGCTGCTGAATCTGATACAATGAATGCAGCCCTTCCATTCAACATCCATTTTTGCCCTACCTTGTTATACTATATTCAGACATGCGAAGCATATGATAATACAGCTGTATTTTATTCAAATAAACCACTTAAAAATATCAATTCTACTTTTTCATCCTGTCCCCTCCCTCCATTTTGTTCCATATTTTAATGGCTTGAGGTTTATTGATTCATACGGCAGCGTCTAAACATGATACTCAGAGAGCACTAGAAGACAGATTGAGGAGGAAACAATATAAAAGGGAATGAAAAGAGGGGGGGGGAATGAAAAAGAGAGGAATGTTGGATTAATATTCCACACACTCCAAGCACACATTGAAACTGATTGTTTCAATTCCACTAGAGTTAAACTGATATATTATGCCCAGTCTGTTCATGATCGCTGGATTGAGAGAATAAGGATTCCTCCGTCCTTAGTATTTTATTCAAATTGTGAGCATAATTTTCAGTTTGCCGCTAACTCAGGGGGTGTATTACAGTACACAGAAACAAATTAGTGGCAAAAACACTGAGATATGAGCTGCGAAGTCCACCAGAGAGAAACAAAAGTCACAATGTGCTGCATGACTCCTTTGAGAATTGCAATGAACGTTACTCTGCTCTCATAGAAAAAGTATTGCAATGGAGAATTAAGTGTTGTTCTTTGGGTTCTGTAGAACATTCAGTGCTTTACTCTGACTGCATTGTGCTGTAGGAATGCCACTGAAACAAGGAGCAGGTAGTTCCATTTCATTTCACCATTTTAATTGAATTCATCTGAGTGTTTGAAAACAAAGTCTCTGACCGAAAACTGACACAGAACATATAGACTTTTTAATCACCTACCCGTGTTAATGTGATTTTGTTGTGTAGAGTTTCGGAAACAGTTTTAATTATGGGCTTCATCATTTGCAGTAAAATTACCACTTAAAATGGGTCTTCATGTTTTCTTGATTGTTTGTGCTTACGGTCCCAGATTGCCACTGTTTGCTCTCAGGTACATGCATGGTTTTGCTAGTTTATTTTTGCCTTAGACAACCTGCTGGGGAATCATAAGCATCTGTTTTACTGTCCGATAAGGTTAATTGGTATACCGGCACTAAAAAAGTAATTTGGCAAATATCGTTACTTGGCCTAGTCAATAATGATCCGCTCTTTAGCATAGTTTGGCATTTCAGGCATTGTGACTTGAAGCATAAAAGTGAATGTGTTGATGTGGGAGATTCATTAAATGTTATGTTTTTTAACACATTTATCTTTTGACATTTTTGATGTTATAGCTGTTTTGTTCTGTACTTTAAAAAAAATGTATAAATCAAATCCAGATGGGATTGACAAAAGTCAAGTCATATGCACTCTTTGTATGGTGGGATTTGTCATCAAAGCTAAAAAAAAAAAAAAAAGAAATGTTGTACTAGAAACATTACTGAAGACAATCAGCAAAAACATCTTTTTCATATGTAATTGTATTTTAAAATGTTTTATATTATTTAATCATTGCACCTTTGCTGTTTATTTGTTGTTTAAGATGTTGATTTAGTTGAGGTGCCAGAGGCTGGTATTGTACTGAAGCCAAAATGTTGGTATTGAAGCAACAATACTCCCCAGTTCAAGTTGCATGTAGTTAAGCCAAGAGTGGTGTCATTTATGTTCTGTGGCTAGGAAACTAGAAAACCTCACAGGCCTTATTCTTGCCTTAGAAAAAAGAAAGAATACAACATTCTATAATGGTTTCAAAAGAAAGATGGAGAAAGTAAGACTTTCAGTTAACAAATTGATTTAAAATGTCAACCTGTCCCATTCTATATATTATTTCATTTTTGAAAAATTATAGCTTAAAACCTGAAGTTTACAAGTGTATCATGATTTCCCATGAGTGGATTATAAAAGGCTTATGGTCAACTTTGAGAATAGCCTTGAGTCTTCTTCAAAATGTCATGGTCCACACAACAACATAAATAAAACTGAGTAATGGGTTGTCACTTGGACAATAGTAATCAATGGAAAAAAAATAATCAAACATTTTGATGCTTATTTTTGCCAAAAGGCACTTACTATGAATAGTTAGAATATTATTGTGAATTGAACAAGCACGTAGAAATATGCTAATTTTTTTCATGTTTTCTGTACTTATTTAGGGGGTAAACATGCAGATTGTAGACCTCTAATGAGTTTATATCAATATAATATAACATAGCAAAATATGTTAAATGTGATAGAGTACTGCACTTTTATTAGTTTCTGAAAGCATCATCAAATTAGCCAGAGTCTTTAATAAATGAGCATGCAATGTGTATGTTGTAATTCTGCAAAGGTTTCTGTGGAATTCTGCAGGCACATATTCTACACTGATTTAATTATGATTAAAAAGACTAATAAAATAAAGCATTGTTATTCAAGCCACTGGGTACATATTTTTTGGCTAAATGGAAATGACTTAAACAGAATTGATTTAGGGTTTATTGAATATGGCTGAAACACATAGTGAACATTCATTTTTTAATATTGTGAATTATTCAATTATAGTTTAATATAATCATATATTTAATTACATTCCAACATTTTTAAATACTTAAAAATTTGACAACTTTCTTTTGCAGGTAACTTAAAGGCAAAAACCGGTTTATATTCAGTTTAAAATGAAAAGCTAGTTAATGTTGTTCATGTTGCATATGCCTTTTTTTTTTACTATGTACACCTGATGTCTTTTTGTGCAATATGAAAATATACATGCAAGCAATACACTCTTAGTCATTCCCTCTCTCTCTCTCTCTCTCTCTCTCTCTCTCTCTCTCTCTCTCTCTCTCTCTCTCTCTCTCTCTCTCTCTCTCTCTCTCTCTCTCTCTCTCTCTCTCTCTCTCTCTCTCTCTCGCTCTTTCAGGAGATGTAATTAGTTCCAGTATCACAGTGGTTTTGCTGGTTCAGGAAGCTGAGGGAGTTTGTCTGGGGTCCTGCTCTTTCAGATATGCTGTATTTGGATATGCTAATAGTTTGTCCTCTTCTGATTGGTTAATTAACCTCAGATGAAAACGTCCCGTCACAGGTGGGGCTGTGAGGAGTGAAGGTTGTGCACAAACGCATACGCAAACACAGGACCCGGTATAGCGGCGTTAGTAAAGTCACAGACTATCAATAGGCTGGAATAGGTTTTCCTATAACTGCTGTGTTTGCATCTGCATCCGTTTTGTGAATTATTACTCGATTTTCTTTTAGGTTAATGACAATACTCCTGTTGACTGAACTCTAATTAGGGAACAATCATGGAGTGTGAAATGAAATATTGGACCTTTTAGACTAATATTCATTAGTGTGTTGACGCGATACTGAAGACTGTGTTCTCACACAGTCACGGTTGCAAAGGGACCACTTACTGTCTGCTTTTGATTCAAAGTCTCTCTCTATCCTTTTTTTGTGTGTGGTAAAACTCACAGTGGAAAGACAGATGCTCGTTTGTTCACTGTGGTTTATGAGTGTGTGCTCAGAATGTTTTGTCAGGTGGGAAGAGCAAAGCGTTTTACCTGCCACGTTTCAGTGTGACATTTGACAGCTTGAGCGTGTTTGTGTTTTAGCGTATGTGTGTACAGCATCATGTTTTTTTTTCTCTCTCTCTCTCTTCTTCCCCCCTGATCATCATTACCTCCATCAGGCTGTCCTGGCTCTGAGTGCATTGCTTCTTATTCTGCTGTCATCTCAAGATAATAAAATTCACACCTGATATTTACTCTCATCCATCACTGCAAGGCTGCCTGACAGACATTTTATCATTTAGCTTAGCACATTAAGAGCGCTGTATCTGGGGAAATGTGTAAATGGACATTACTGGGTGATTTGCTAACCGTCTGCGTGTTTTTCTTTCAGGTGATCCTGATTTTGACAAAACTGTTCGACTTTAACCTGGGAACTGTGACGGAGAGTTCGCTCTGGAGGTAAACCCACTTCTATGAATGGAAACATCATGGAGTTTATTCAAAGTCTTTTAAGCATCAGTGCTCTGGTACCCCTTGTGAAAACAAAGTACACTTTAGCATATTTTACTTATTAAAAGTAAACTTTTTGGATACTTATTGGGTGACCATATGTCCTCTTTTTCCCAGAGATGTCCTGGTTGGGATTTCTAAATTGCCTAAAGTGTCCGGGTTTTGGCTTGGTTTTCCTGTTGTTTTCATACTTGCTGAAGGTAATGACGGATAGTTTGACCAATAATGTGTTGACCAATCATGGCGTGCGAGAAGGTGGTGTCTACAGAAAACAGTCAAAGCAATGCAAATACGTGTTCATATTAGTGTTGCACGATATACTGGTACTAAAAAGGTATCGCGATACTCTGCTTTTAAAAACAGTACGATTCCTCATTTTACTAGTACCAGTACTTTAAGAATGGCATCGTTTTAATAAGATCCATATTTCCTGAGTTGCATCGATGTGCGACAGCAGGGCAGTGTGTGCGCAGCGCTCTGCTTCCATTCCCTGCATGCACACTGGCCGTGCCAAACTTTATATATCCACGCAAGCGCAGGACTTAATAAGTTTTAAGCGCAGGACTTAATAAGTAATACGTTTATTATTGACAATTTAGAGTGAATAAGAAACATGCAAGAATGAGAAAATAAAGCGCAGTACACACTTGATGTTAAAAAGAGTTATTAAGCACAAAGAACTCAGTGCAGTACTCGCGCTCTGTTACACACCTGACGTGTGCGTATAGAAAACCACCTCTCACAGACAGAATGCGATCGAGAATTTAGATCTCTTTCACGAGTTATTGCACTTCAACGGTCAAATACACACACAATTATGTTAATATGCCCATCTTGGCTTATGACTTAAATGAACGTAAACAGTTGAGAAAAAAATGCATGTGTATCAATATATTGGATCTGTGCAGTTCTTAAAGTGACAGCAGACTAATATTCCTGCAACAAAATCAAACAACAAAAGAGAAAATCTCTAACTGCTCTTGAATAAATCACTTTTGTCACTTTAATAAGAATAAATAAATATTTAATTTACACAGTAAAGAATATGCAGTGTTTTTATACATATGATTATGTAGCATTTCTTATTTATTTGTTCTACTATATTTTTTTGCCCTATTGCTTGTAATTAGTTTCTTATTCTTTTTTCAATCTTTGACTGCTTATTTGTCTTCAGTGAGATTGTTTTTTTTTTTTATTTAGGCTAGTTTTTTTGTGATATTGACACAGGTAACAATAATTATGAAAGTTCGGTCCTAAAGTGCATTTGTCCGTGTTTCACTCCGTCTCGAATCGCGCTCGCGGATAGCGCTTGAGAAACAGTGAATCTTCTGCAGCTCGGTACGATTTCAACTCGTTTTTTTAGTCTCGAGCAAGACCGTACAACATTCACATTACATGATTTGACTGATTTTTACGTAGAAAGGGCGAATTAAAAGAAATGATCATTCATGTTTTCATAACCGCTGGCCAAATTCAAAAACAAAACTAAAATTAAATCATCTTTGAGAGCAAGGGGGCTCTACGCAGCTTGCGTATTTTGCATATAGGGAGGATCAGCTCTGTTTAGTAGCTTTAATAAGGATCAATGTATATTTAATTGAGGTAATTGAGGGGCAGTTGAGGTCAGTTATAACCATCTACGGTAATTTGACTTTATCCTTTTAGCTTCTTTTAACTTACCAATGTTGCAAAGATCTCTATATACCTGTAGGCTCAGCTATATCATAGGCTTTTAGTTTGCTCAGCATAGGCCTGTGTGGTGGCACTGGCATGTAATTTTTTTTTTTTTAAAGGGGCAGGAAATGCTCAAAATTGATAGATAAAAGAATGAACTTTAAGTTAAGTATAACTATAATTTGTGCGTCATGTACAGTATTATTCACTAACTTTTCCTGTTGTTTAAAATTTTTGTTGTGGTATTGGTTCAGTAGTAGTATCGAGATATTTTAGTTAGGTATCGTGACAGCACTAGTTCATATAATGTATGAGGGCTGTAGAGAGCATGCCAATAGGAAAACAAAGTTAAAACCCAGACATTTTAGGCAATTTAGAAATGCCGGGAGGGATACTATACTTTAAAATAATATACTTAAAAGCAAACTGAATGTAATGTTTCCTGCATGATAACTGCAATTAAATGAAAATGTATTATAGTTTAAATTTATATTAAATGCAATTAGTTTAACTTAAAGTGCTTTTTTGAACCACTAAGGTAGGATTTAAGTACATCTTAATATGACATTTCCTAATTACTCCTTTTGTCTTTGAAATATGGTTAAAGTCTTCCGCCGTATGTACTGACAAACATTTATGGTAAACTAAAATATATTTTTAATGTCATTTCTATTGAAACTTGTTTAGCATGTATTTATATGTATTTGTAATTGCACATTTGTAATGATGAAGTTGCAATTTAGTATGTAATATATTAACTTTAAATGTAATATCAAATAAGGCACCTACAGTTTTAACCAATTATAATTACATTACAATTATAATACAGTAAAACTGTATTATAATCAAATACTTTACATGTGCTTTAGTATGTTAATAATAACACATCAAGTGGAATGAACTTTAAAGCATTGACAAATGATCATTAAAACGATTATTAAAATTTACTTAAAACATTTAATTTGACATTATTACAGTGCACATTTTAAAAGTGTACATAAGTGTGTTAAGAAACACACTTTGTTTTTAAATATACTTTTAAGTTTTGAAGCACATTCAATAGAATTAAGCGCACCTCTTTTTCATAAGGGGCTGCTCATCATAAATTCATGTAAATACAGAATCCTCTGTTGTACACCTTCCGTATGTAAAATTTGCTGTTCCTCATGGGTGTGTGCTAAGGACTCAATATTTTTTACTCAATATTTTTTTAGTGAGAGCACTGGGACCATTTTGTAACAGTGCTAAGAAAAGGGCAGGAACATAAAGCTTGCATTCTTCCAATATTATCTGGTGTGAACCTTCTAATCGCTGCAGCACTGCTGAACCAACCTGAATGAAATGATCGGATAACACTGTGGTTTTAGTATTACGCTTCTAGCCCATTACAAATCAACACACATTCTTACATTAGCCACAAGTGCATTAGTGGCAAGTACACCAGACTATATGAATGGCTAAGATCTGGGATGAAATTCTGCTCAGAAACACTTTCACTGACCATTGCTGATATGCCCCTGGGTGAAGTACTTAATCCCTGTCTTCTCCTGGGACGCTCTGTACCATGACCCGACTCTCTCTCTCTCTTTCTGTCATAGTGCATAGACAATGGAAAGAAAAGAATTGCAAGGTAGCTGTGTAAGCCAGGCTTGTACATAGAGAAAGAAAGCACTGCCTGTACATTCTGTCACCTCACTTTTGAAAAATTTTCCCCCATTAATTTCGACGTCACATCACAGAGAACTATCATTTACTCATTTATAAACCCTCACTATTCACAAAACACCTTATTTCTGTCTTTTTTACAAGTTGCTGAGAAGCTCGTCGTACTTTAGTATGCTTTTTTAAGCTGCTGCGGTGCATTTCTCTCAGGCTGTCTGAAAGGGTCTGTTTAAAAATTCCCTGCTTAACTGAGGCATTTCTCACTCAAGCATTTCCAAACTATTTTATCCATTAAAACGGCTCCCAGTGAAATCTACAGTTCACTGGGATTAAAGTACCTTTAATTAAATTTAAAAACGCTAGACCCTCAATTTTTTATGGCTAACTGGTTCTGTGTGAACTAGTATAGTCCCATTACTGTTATGCTTCTGTACTGTACTGTTCAGACCTGTTAAGATCGCAATGGAATTGGGGTTTCAAAGATGTTGAATTGATAATTCTTTTGATCTTAATTTAATTCAAATATTAATTATTAAAGTTTTTGGGACAAAACTAAAATGATTAGTGCTTTATATAAGTCAGTTTGAATAGTAATACAACATGTTATTATCAGTTTTATAACCACCTTTCTGCATCTTAAATGTAATTGTTTTCCTGTGCTCTGTTTATTATAGTTATATGCTTGATATTCATCCACTTATTAAAGTTGTGATTTACCCAAAAACTCTATAAATAACACCTGCATGTAAATGGAATTGAACTAAAGAGTAATTGTAGCCACAAGCGCAGCGTGATCATCATCAGTACAGCTGATAGTTGGATAGACTTTTGTCCATTTTAATTAAAAGAATAATGAAAACAATGTTGCAATAATTAAACAGGCTACTTGATATGTTTTGGGAGATATGTAATATGACATCATCCTTTATCAACATGCCATCACTGCAAACACTTGCTTAGACACAAACGCTCACGCTCCCACACACACATACACACTGCAATCACCTTGAAGGAAGGCTTTGTTTCATTTCTTTTTGGCTGCAAGCCCTGATGAGATTTCCTCTTCTGGTGTGTGTCACTCAGAGAGGGAGGTGAGCTGGGGGGTTTACAGAAAGAAAAAAACAGAAAGCCATTATCAAACTTCCACAAACTGAAATGGCATAAACAGGAAATGAGGAAGAAGAAAGTGGAGGAATGGGAGAGAAGGAGGAACAAAGAAAGAGCGAATGGAAGAAAGAGAGAGAGAGAGATAGACAGTAGTGGGGGGAGGGATGTGGCACCGTGTTATTAAAAGAGGTGAATGTTAAAGCTCAGCTTGCAGGCTGTAGTAAATGATGTCGGTAATAACAGTATGAATGATTAATGAATGTTGCTGTTGGCGGCATAAAAGGAGAAAAAAAATATGAAGACAAATCACGGCTCATTCAGAGGAGCTAGTTAATCACACTCTCCTGTGTTTTAAAATAAAGATGCATGCTCTAAAGAGTATCCAGCCTGCCCATGCAATTGTTAAATCTCACACACGTATTTTTCCTGAGAGGAGGAGTAATGTCCTCTTGAGTACAGTGCAGATCTGCTGGAGGGGAGAGAGAGAGAGGGAAGCTTGACCAGACCAGAAACGTCAGAGGAGCTTTTTAGGGCAGGCACTCAGCACCGCTCGAGGGCGCTCAGAGAACCATCTTCCTCTTCACCTGTGCCGCTACAGCTTACACAACCCAAATAACCTCAACAGCTCAGAACAGCCGTGTAATTGTATCCGGTGGTAAAAGTGTCAGAGTATGAGCACTCTTACCGCATTCAGAGATGAGCACTTGAGGAGATAATGCTTCAGACGGCACATAAACGTGTGCTTCTCCAGCACAGCAACATGTAACTGTCTGGCCTAAAACCATTAGCGTTATTATACTTGTAGGAGTGCGGCAGACTCTCCTGACTGCTGTCGTACCTGCTGGAGAAGAGACGGTGTTAATGAGTTCCGATGGAATGGAGACATGCACATACACAACAGCTTCAGTTAATTACGCCAATGACTTCTAAAACTCTCAGGTTTGTTGCAGATGTTGTGCACCGTGCTCCTGACACGTCGAGTTACAGTGCTCGTGTGGGGTATGCTGGTTCTAACGTGGCCCATGATGTTTCCTGTCACCCTTTATTTTGCCTGTCTAATAAAAAGCCAAAAGACTGTGTCCACATGTCCATGTTATTTTGAGTTTTTGTTCTAACCAGCTGTGATGGCAACAAGGGAAGCGCAACGAACGAGACGTTTTGGTCGTGTGGTTTCTGTCTCTGTCCTTCAAGGTAGCAGTTTGTGAAATCGAACTGGTCCAAAATCTTGATCCACATTGCAGGATATTCAACATCACATATGTTCTTAAAGGGGTCATAGGATGCTACATGCACTTTTACAAGTTGTTTGAACTGAAATGTGTGTTGGCAGTGTTTGTACACAACCACCCTATAATGATAAAAATCCACCCAGTGTTTTTTTTTAATCTACTCAAATCTTTCCCCCTTTCTCAAATCGAGCCGATCTCAGATGCCTGTCTGTGTGACGTCACAAAAACAGCCCCCTCCCACGATAGTTTGATTGACAGTAGTGTTTCAGCACAGACTGGACTGGCGTCTTACCTTAGACACGCCCTGAGTGAACTGTCATCAGTCCGCCATTGTTTCACCGCTGGAGCAGATGTAGACAAGAATGACTCCTAAGCGATTGAGGTGTTCTGTTGTTGGATGTAATAATGAACATAGCAGTCGTCAATTACTCCTGACATCTGAGCCGCTGAAGACGCAGTGGATTACCTTTGTTTCTGAAGGGAATGTGTCCCCGATCTACCTAAATGCGTCTATTTTCGCACGAATCATTCGTGATCCAGCTTCACCCACAGAAGATGTGAGTATAAGGTTTTTTAATGAATCTTTGCAAATCGCCTTTCCTAATAATGTGCTAATTAGCAAGTTTCACGATGAATGCAGCTAAAGTAAACAGTCTCTCTGAGAGCGGCTCGGAACAGAGGGGAGGGGTCAGCAGAGCTCATTAACTTTTAAAGGAAAATGCTACAAAATTGCTTGCTCTGAGAAGAGCTGTTTTTGACAGGGTAAAAAAAAATAGTTTTTTTACACTACCATTGAGAAATTTTAACCAAACTATGTTACAGACTTTCCATTAAGACCCTAAAGAATCATATCAACTTGTGGAAAATGGGCATCCTATGACCCCTTTAATGGCTCTTTTGTCGCTTTTGCACTTTCAGTCAGGACAGAAAAATTACATGATGCAGGAAACTTCTTGTGTCACACCTGGTTAGGACAAGCTGAATGCTTTTAAAAAATCCTCAGCTCTTCTTTTGTATTTTCACTTTGGTTTGTGCTTTGTTTGAAATCAAATGTCTGTGTGGGTCAATGACATACGAGTTTCAACAATAAAGAAAAGGAAACATCTTTAAAGTAAGGAAAATCTAAAAACATGTTTCAAGTGCCTAGAAATATACTCTTTTTATTGCTTTCATATTGTTTTGAAAAACTTCTACGCCATTTAAGAAAAGTTTCAGTTTAATGACTCGTGGTGTAATCATCAAGTAACATTTTTCTTGTGCATGTTTCTTGTGTCAGTGTACATGACAAATCATTATTTTGGCATATATATTAATTTTTCTTTCAAACCTGAATTACTAAATATTAATGTCATAGTTTTGGAGGAGTCACACAAAAAAACAATGAAATCACAGAAGTGGTGTATTCAAGTAATTGTATGAATTGGATTTTAATGTAACACTAATAAGGTTCTATTACTTGTTAACTATATTAATTAACATGAGCTAGCAATGAAAAATACTTACAGTTCCATTAAATAATATTAACAGATACAACTTTTAATAATGTATTAATAAATGTTGAATTGAACATGAACTAAGAATAATAAATGATTTAGAAGTATTTTTGTTAGTTCATGTTAACTAATGTAGTTAGCTAATGTTAACTTGTGTAAAGTGTTTCCATATTTAAAATAAATTAATAGATAAAAAATATGGGCATCACATCAGTGGCCTTTGTATGTATTTGTAGGTCAGTAGATTTTGGGACAACATATGAGAAGCTGATGGATAAAGTGATGATCAGAACAATGCTGAGCTATCTGTACGTCTTTCCGACCAATAAGAGGAAGGTGAGTGTGTTGAAATGCGTCAGAGATACAGACGTACAAAACTGTCAGATAGAAAATATCAAGCTAATATAATTCTTCCTCTTCCTCAGATCCTGATTTTATCTGATCCGGAGGTGGAAAGTAGTTTACTTATCAGTTCTGATGAAGGAGCCACTTTTCAAAAGTTCAATATTAACTTCTATATCATGAGTCTTCTGTTTCACCCTACTCAGGAGAATTGGATTCTGGCCTATAGCCATGATCAGAGGGTATACACACACAAACACAAACACACACAGACACACACACACACACTCACACTGCCTCAAGAGGTTCTACTACTGAACAATTAAAAGCAGATAATGTGGATAATTAAGTGTGAGCAAGATAATTACCTTTGTTGACTGCAGTTAGGGATCTCACAGTGAATGTGTCTGTTTCTCTTTTGGGCTGTAGCTTTATAGCTCATTGGACTTCGGTAAAAAGTGGATTCTTGTTCATGAGAGAGTAACTCCGGGGCGATTCTACTGGTACGACTCACACACACACACACACACACAGAGTAATTTTTTTACTGATCATCAATCTCATATAACACGCCTACAGTGCAATTTCACACTGAAAATTAATCTGACTGCAAGAATATACCTGCATGCGCACACACAATCACACACTGAAAATTAATCCAATATTAAACCCACTCTCTACATCCAATACACTGACACTGATAAACTTACACACACACTTTCTATGTCTCTTTCCCTTCTCTGTTTCTCTGTCTACCTCCATCTATCTCACTGTCATGCCACTTCTCTTTCCCCTGTGCTTCATATTAGTGTATGTGTGGAATTTTGATCAGGTTTTATATTTTAATCCCATCAGTGTGTGTTTGTGTGGGGTGTAGTCAAAATAACTGGTTGCCTGTCACATGCTCGATGAGCTGTGGAGACAGCCAACAACATGTCTTCACCCCTGGGTTTAACATCCCTATGCACACACATTTCTCTACATCCTTTCAAAAATATATAATACATCTTTTCTTTGCTGCTTTCTACTGCAACACACACACATACTGTAGACTGTATAGATTGTGTTTGTGTCACTGAAGCCCTGCTGTGTCAGTTTTGGTGACTACAAAAATGGAAAATTAAAAAGTTTAACCTCAGACTATAATGGGTCTCGGTGTCAGACTGGGTTTGAGAGGAATGTTTAACCCCCGTTCAATTATCCAAGTCTGAGTTTAACGTCTGAATGGGATTTAGAGAGATGTTGAATCTCAGACAGATAATTGAAAGAGAGGTTATTTTCTGACTGAAATTTTGAGAAGTGCTTTAATCTTAGACTGGGACTGAGAGAGACATTTAAACGCCGACTGAGATTATTGAAGGTGTTTAAATGTAGTATTATTTTGGTAAAACTTTCAATAAGTTTCAATTTTTTAACATCAGATAATGCATTAGGTATCATGAACTAACAATGACCAATACATTTACAGCATTTATTAATCTTGATTAATGTTAATTTCTACACATGCTAATACATTTTTGCCATTTCAGGTTCAAGTAAATTCTATTTATAAATTAACAATAATCTGGATTAATAAATGCTGAAAAAAAGCTGTTACTTCATTATACCTAATGTATTAATTAATGTTAATGAATTAAACCTTGTTTTTTTTCTGGGGGTATCAAATGGCATTTTTAAGTACACACTGCTGTTCAAATGTTTAAAAAAAACAGTAAAACTAGTAATATTATAAAATGTTATTACTATTTAAAATAACTGTTTTCTAATTTAATATATTTTAAAATGTCATTTATTCCTGTAATGCAAAGCTGAATTTTCTGCAGCCATTACTCCAGTCTTCAGGGTCACGTGATCCTTTAGAAATCATTCTAATATGCTGATTTGCTGCTCAAGAAACATTTTGAAAAACATTTGAGTAAAAAACAACAACATTTTTTAGGATTATTTGATGAATAAAAAGTTTATTTGAAATATAAATCTTTTAAAATATTATAAATGTCTTTACTGTCACTTTTGATCAATTTAACGCATCCTTGCTTTAAAATAAAAGTTTTAATTTCTTTAAAAAAATCATACTAATCTCAAATTTTTTAATGGTAGCGTACATATACAGTAATGCTGCATTGTAGATGAGCAAATTGGATTTACTTTCATCAGGAACTCACTCTAGCTGATATATCTATATGTCTGTCAGTGATGGACCACTTCCAAATCACAGTCTGACACTTGAGATTGAGGCTACAACTTTAATCTTTAATTTCATTGCCTGCCAACTCGAGGGACCGGGACTTCAGCAGTTTGTGGCTGACCATAGAAATGGTGAGCAACATGCCGTTTTCAAGTCAAGATGACATGAAAATTTTTATGTTGAGATGGCAAGAAAATTACATTGTGATCTCAAGAAAACAACCTTTTAAGGGGGTTTTAATGTCAGACTGGAACTGATAAAGAAGTTTAGAAGGGGTTTGATGTCAGACATGTGATGAGAGAGATGCTAATTCAGACCGAGATTAATAATAATCTGAGATTGAGACCGTAAATGGTACTTAATGTCAAACTAGGGCTCTGTAGAGGTGGAATATCAGATTTTTACTGATAGGTTTAATTTTGGATTGTAAGAATGACTTAATATCAGATTGTGACTGTGTTCAAACTGTCTCATAAGAAAATATGGAAGACAAAAGACAAGACATTAAAATTATTAAAAACCTCAGAAAGAGGATATGATGGTGAGTGTGTGTGCGTCACAGGTGAAAATAGGTAATAGGTAAGAAATGAAAGTGTGTATGTGATGGAGAATGGTTTGTGGGAGTGAGCTCTGTGTGTGTGTGCGCACGTTTTTGTGACATATGAGGACACAAATTTGTATAATGACATGGGTATGACATAGGTATTGCAACGAGAAGGTGACTTATGAGGACATTACCCCATGTCCCCATTTTTCAAAACGCTTATAAATCATACAGAGTGAGTTTTTTTGAGAAAGTAAAAATGCACAAAGTTTCCTGTAAGGGGTAGGGTTAGGTGTAGGGTTGGTGTAGGGCAATAGCACATACAGTTTGTACAGTATAAAAACCATTACGCCTATGGAATGTCCCCACAATTCACAAAAACAAACGTGTGTGTGATTAATTGCTATCAGAGCAACAATAAGGATTCACTGGAGACAGACTGTCTCCTACTGGAGCAGTGGAATTATGCTGTCCATCACCACCCCTCCATTCTTCCCCTCTCCTCTTCCATCATGCCATCATTCTCATGCTATTACCATACTCATCCGTCCGTCCCCTGCTGGCACCTCCTTCTCTTTCCTTCCTTCTTCATATCCTCTCCACTGGAGCCCTTCTTGATTGTTTTCCTCTCTTCTGTTCTTTTTTGTATTCTGACTTTTTCTTTTTTTAATTTTTAGGGCACTGAGTGGTCTAGATAAAGAGGCAGACCTGGTACACATCGAGGCTCGAACTGACAGTGGACGTTAGTCTCTTTTCTTTTCCTTCTTTTCCCTCCTTTGCCCCTCAAATTTTGTCTTTTTTTCTCCTGCTTTTTCAGTTTCTCTCTTCCTCCCCTCCTAGCGCTCTCACCCTGTCTTTCTTACTTTCTCCCCAGCCTCCTATGCTTTTTTTCCTGTGTCGCAGTGAAAAATGAACAGATGAATTGTGGACAACAGTAAATTCAATAGCAAATGATTCTGGCTTGGTTCTGGCAGACTGTTGCGCTTATGTTTTATCCTTGTGGGACAGTGTTGTGCATTAAACTCGATTGATATGAGCCTGACACAACACAACAGGCCCTAAGCTTCGGACAGTCTAACAACAACAATACATTTAAATGTGTTATGAGTGATGCAGTGGTTACACCAAACTAAATTTGAAGCACACGGAAATGGAGAATGTGGCAAAAGCTTCTTTAGTTTTCAGGCGGTAATAATCAAACCTCTTCTAAAAGAAGGATTTGAACCAGTTCTTTCAATCCATTCAACAGAAATATTTAATAGGCCATTTTATCTGTCCATGCCTTCACAGTAGAGCAGGCATGTGGAATCAGAGTTGGGCAAAATTCAGAATTGAAGAATTGGCTCTTTTTCAATTCACGAGTTGCAAATTAAATTCAATTGGCCACACCCCGAAGGAAGTTGAATTTGAATGACAGGAAGAGGAATTTAGTGAACTATATTTCAGTTAAATAGGTTTACAAAAAGGCCAGAAACTGTGATTCAGTTGGATTCATTCAGACCGTTCACTCACGCACTGCAGTGGTTTCTCGTTTGAAGTGGTTTCTAACACTGAAACAATAATGGGATATTTCATAAGAAAACAAAAAGAATGCTGGATGAGGTGGATATTTACCTTCAATTAATTGTAGAAAACAAAACTTGCAAATGTACTAGCAAATCTACTATCGTTTTTCAATCACGAAACAGCTCTATAAAAAAAAATATAGGCAAATTTATATGGGCAAACTTTTTTGCTGGGGGCCTGTGACCCAGTACTGATGGAAGGCTAGAAACCACCCTGCACACAGGTAATGCTTTCTAGAAAGTGTCCTTCTGCTCCAATTTACTGAATATGATGATGCCTCTATGCCTATAAAGCTTTAAATTTCAAGGCTTTTAAACTTTCAAATGGTTTTCAAAAGACAGGACAAACTTTGTTTTTTTTTTTAGTTTAAAATTTCTGTTGAACTTTTTGAATTTCTATTCATTTTAATTCTGCCTTCATGTAGAACATGGATTCTGTAGAGACTCACAAAGCCTATATTTGTGTTATTACAAAGGGGTATGCTGATTTATTGTACTGGACAATCTGGTGATAAACATGTGATGAGAAATGCAGTACAATAAACAGGGATTTTGTTGGTTTAAATTAAACTACATTTGAGATGCATTGTTTTATCAGTCACATGCTATAGATGGTTAAATAAGTATTGACCAAAAAATTCTAATTGATGTTGTTTTGACTGACTTTCTTCCATGAAACACAAAACGATAAATGTTTAACAATAATCACACATTCTTTTCTAACCAGTAAAAGCAGAGAGTAAACGGGTGCTATCAAGCCCAAAAATAACCAAAGGCACATTAAAAGTAGTCCAGATAATTGTGCAATAGCTGTATATGTGAAACAGACTAAATTTTCAACCAGAGTTATTATTCTTAGTGCTAATTCAAAGTTAATTATTCTTAAAAGTTATTTTTTTTAAATCACCATAGGCTAGTGGCTATACATTTGACATACACACAAATCTTATTTGTACATGGAGCATATTCAATCTTATAACAATTAAGACATACTGCATACTGAGACGTACTTGACATCAGTGACACCTCTGTGTCTTTTAATCAAACATGATAAACTGCTTTGCAAAGTGAAAGTGCAACTGATTTGAGAGATTTTTGAGATAAAGTAAAAGATCTGGAATATAAGGGGAAGTAAATGACACATTTTTAATTTTTGTGTGAAGTATGTCCTCAGTCTTCAAGTTGTCAGTGATGGTGTTTGTTGATAATAGAATATTGATATTCAAGTAGAGATTTGAAATGGATTTTTAAGTTCTTTATGAACTTTGTAAAGATATTTAAAGCTATTTTATATAAAGCAATTTTATCCATGTAAAAATAACTCCTTTAAATGTGATCTCAAAACATACAATAAAAAATATCTAAAATAGTTATAAAAGATCTCCTACTCCTCGTTTTGTTCAGAGATACCTGAAACAAATAAAAAAGGTTATTCCTAATCGGTTGTTTCTTTGTTGGGCTCTTATTTTCTTTCTGTCTTTGCTCTCACCCTTCTGTCTTTCTCTGTACCTTTACTCCCACCCCCTCTTTCTCTCCTTTCTGAGTGAGGATGGATAGCTAGTAGAGAGACTGATAATGGAGAGCACTGATTAATTTGGCTAGACAGAGATGTGTGGGAAGTTTGTGTATAGGTTCTAGATTGTGTTTGTTGTGTGGGGGTGTGTGTGTGCCAGCGAGAGTGAGAGAGATATTGATCATCTGTTTTTTTTTTGTGGTGTAGATCAAGGTGTTCTTGTGCACAAGCGTATCCTGTGTTGATAAATCTGTGTGTGTGTGTGTGTGTGTGTGTGTGTGTGTGTGTGTCTCACAGAAATGCAGTACATTACGTGCCGAGCACAAAAGTGTTCAGAGGAGGGTAGGCAGTATCCATTCAGTGGCCGAATTGACACCAACTCACTCGTAGTGCAGGACCAATACATCTTCTTACAGGTACAGATGTGTGTGCGTTTCATTAAGTACATAAGCGTTTGTGATTTAGATTGGTGTGGGAGATACCAAAATGTGTGTGTGTGTGTCACGATAATCTCTGTCTGACTCTTTTTATAGCCCTCCTTTTATCTCTGTCAGTGCAGTGTAAGTGAGTGATAACCATTGAAACCAGCCTCTCCATCTTTAACAGCAGACCAGGGGAGGACAGGACACGGTTTTGAGTGAGAATCCCAAACCTGGACCCTCCTCTGTCAATACAAGCGACTTTTGACTTTTGTTGCTTGGAGCTGTTGAATTTGAGTTGACAGAGCATAATGAGGTTATTGATTCAAAAAGCGCAGGAACAAGAGACTGTCTGACACCCCACACCTCTCACAGGAAAAACACAGTGTAGCCTTTACAACCTAATAGCTACAGTCTACTTGATAAGAGTGTGTACAACATGTGTGTAGGTCAGGTTTTGCTAACATTCAATACATTTACATTGCACTTTAAAAGTTCAATTTCAGTTTGACTAAAACAATAGTTTGCTACCAAAATGTTTTTTTATTGTGTGAGGTAGTGTTGTCACAATACTATAATTTCTAACTCTAGCAATTGCTTGAAAAATATTTCTATATTTATATTTAATATTTGTATTTTCTTTTTTTTATTATATATAATATCATTATCAATACCACAGGGAAAAACTGGCACAAAAATACTACATTTGATAAGTATTTAAAATAATTTACTTTTAAGTTGATAAGAAAAAGTTGAAAAGTTTTATGAGATTCCTCAGCCGAAATAAATAATAAAAATAATAATAATTATTATTGTAATTCTGTTAATTGATTTTTTTTTTTTTTTTTTACTTTACACTATAGTGTAAAATTACTTATGATTTGCAAGAGTTAAACCCTCTGGCTTTTATTTTGGCGGAAACTGCAGTTTTTGTGAAAAGAGGTTTGCAAATGTGTTTCATTACAAATCTAGTGAAATGCTGTAATTATCTGTCCACAAAAATGTAAGAAATGATGTGAATGGCAAACACTGTGTACCCAAATGCTCACAGCACATGCAGAGATAGATTTCACTACATATACCATGAACCAAGCCGATAATATTGAGACTGATAATATTTTTTATAATAATCTATATAACAGTAATAATAGTAATTAATGAGTATTGTATTGTTGTTGTTAATAACAATAATATACTACTTTATTATTATCATCATCATCACAAAAAAAGAGGAAATCCAAGTATTTGAGTTCAAGCCGCTCTGAGACGCTGAAAACATTGGATCATGAGTGATGGAAAGTTCCCTCTATGATAGACAAGCAAACATGGGTTCTGACTGGTGTGAAGTGCTGATCTGTTGTAAATCCTTGTAACTGTGCTTTCTCTGACTTTGTGTGTGTGTGTGTGTGTGTGTGTGTGTGTGTGTGTATCAGTTAACCACAGCAGGAAGAACTACGTACTTTGTGTCCTATCAGCGAGGGCCCTTCAGGACCATACAGCTCCCTAAATACTGTCTACCCAAAGTAAGATACATGACACAGCACTAGCTGTCACAAATAAGTTGTCAGATGAAATGTATGTGGCTCTAACAGCTGTTCTCCGTGCAGGACATGCACATTGTCAGTACAGATGAGGGGCAAGTGCTGGCAGCAGTGCAGGAGTGGAACGAAAATGACACCTACAGTCTGTACATCTCTGACACACCTGGAGTTTACTTCACCCGCTCACTCCCAAACCTCCATACCTTCCGCAGTCTTGCAGGAAACCTCATTGTGGATGTCTACAAGGTCTGCAAATATGATTGTATGGCCTGATGGTGCTTGCCAATTAAGTTTAAGAAGTCGACCATCGTGAATGTTCACATATGAATGTTGTGTGCAATTAGGAAAACTTTGGTAATTACCATGGCTTTCGCCAGGAATTTTGAAAGTAGAACAGGGAACAGTGCAATGCAGCACAAAACAGCAGTGTTATGCAATGAAACGCTATGAATACAAAGAGAAGAAGAAAATCTGATAACGAGAACAACTCAAAACGAAGTGTAAGCAAAAATGCAAAGAGAAACGAGGCCTATCTGCAATCATGTAGAACCTGATATTTTTTCGTTCTCCTCTTTTCCTTCTTGGCAAAAAACACCAACTAATATCTGTAATTGTAAAAAAAAGAAAAGAAAAAAGAACTGATAATATTTTTACAGTAATAATCTTACAAACAGTAAAAATCATGCTAAGAATTTTTTTTTTTTACTACTACTACAACTACTAATAATAATAACATAAGAATAATGTACTGATTTATTATATTATTATATTTATATTATGTAAGTTATAATATTAATTTAAATTATAATAATTTAGTAGACGCACAAACTAATGTTTATAATTGAACATACAGTACTGATAATATTTGTATAATCTATATAACAGTAATAATAGTAATAAATGAGTATTGTATTGTTGTTGTTGTTAATAATAACAATAATATACTACTTTATTATATTATTATTATTATCATCATCATCATCATCATCACAAAAACAAAAAAGGAAATCCAAGTATTTGAGTTCAGATCACTTTTGTCCTGTCCTGTAAAGGTGGCGGGTGTTAGTGGACTGATCATAGCCAATAAGAAAGAAGATGCACAGATGAGAACGTATATCACCTACAACAAAGGCCAGACATGGAGCTTACTACAGCCTCCAGCGAAAGACACCACAGGACATGACATCAACTGCAACCTGGTGAGACCCAATGAACTCATCCAGATATTTCCTACTAAACATGAAGACACTGCCAAAAAAGCATAGATCACCAACATAAAAGTAGGTGAAATACTATTTAACATAAAACAGCTATTAATAATGTTGATCCTATTACAGTGACACGCCCACTTTTATTGAAAACAAGCACTCCATCAGAGCCAGTCACACCCACTATATTCATTACATTACACTCAGACCCACATACTTAACTATGGTCAGATGAAAACAAGACATTACAGTGTTGACACGTTTTTCATTTGATGCATTTTTACAGTGGAGCCCTGCAGAGAGGAACTCCTTTAGTCTCACAGTGAAATGAGCGTGAACTGCCAGCTACCAAACAGTAGCTCTGAATTCAGTGCTTTCTGATGATTTGATTAAGACACGCTACCTTCTCTGTATCTTTGTAATGACTTTCACTGATGTTTTACACTGTTCTGGAAGATTGGTGATTTCAATTAAAACATACATTGAACAACTGGAGTCCATTTATCAGCAGATCTCAGAAAGTCTTAATTACTGTTTTTTTCTACTGCACCAAAAGACAGTGGATTCAGTGTTTGCACATGTGTTGTCATTCTTTAGAAAGGCAAGATGAAACAAGTTTTTTTTTTTTTCCAGTCCTTGTGCTTTGGGTATTTTGGGACTTGTTACCAACTTTAAACAACTGCTGGTACAAGAATTCAGACGCTTGTACACACAGAATACAAGTTTGTTGCTTACTTGCATATGAAATTAGTTTTGAATCACTAGGTGGTTGATTGCATTTAACTAGACTGATTTTTGACACTGTATTGACACTGAATTCTAATTGCCATAATTACATTACGATTTTTCTGAAGCTCTGAAATCAAAGATTAGATTTTTTTTTTCGTTTCCAAAAAAAACTGGGTCACTCTAATTGTAAGGGATGCTAAAAAATATGGACAAAAGCAGCAGAGACATGAAGCGGATTCATTTGCATGGCTTTTGAAAGCTGATGCTACAGTCGGTTGATACAGGGGAGATTATGTAGATAGATGTAAATGTATTGAAATATAATTTAATACTGTGTAATGTTCTAATTTTCAGCCCTCGTGCTCCTTGCACCTTCTCCTGCAGATGTCTGAAAACCCCTACACACCTGACACTATCTCCACCAAACACTCCGCTCCAGGGATTATAGTGGCCACAGGTGTGTGTGTGTGTGTGTGTGTGTGTGTGCGTGTGTGCGTGTGTGTGTGCATTTAACTGTGCCACTTCCTTTATTGTTTTTATGCTTGTGGTGTCTTGAGTCCCCCAGAGGTTTCTGACAATTTAGAGTGAAGAATGGGTATAAATGTGCATGCTTTTAAATGCAGATGGAGTTTGAGTGGCCAAATCACGGCTTTCAATTTGTTACATCTTTGTGTTTTTCAGCTGCAGAGTTTGGCATGATTGGAACAAAAACTCATTTCACTCTGTTCTTTTGCTTGTCAGACTCATTATAAAGTTATCTTAAAAACTCAAGCCCAAATAGCTTCCTGCATGAGACTAGATAGATGCACACTCAAAAAGTCAGTCATGCAGAGCACGCAGAAAATGTGACCGGTGTCTTCCACATTCATAATGGCCTGTCATGTCCAACAGCTGTTCCGCAATCACTTTTCCATGCTCAGAGTGTATAAATATGGGAATTGAAAAATGTTTTTTCTGTTTGTTTGTTTTGTTTTGTCACTGACAGCAACTTTACCAAACGTTCATCATCAGGTGCCATGATGATTGTGGTCTTTGAGGGCACTCATACCCACCAGACAATATGCACCAGGAATTTATTGTGAAATCATAGATTATAGCTTTAAAATTATATTTCTGTGCAGTGGCAAAATGTAACTAAAAAAATATGTTAACCTAAATGACTTAAATCAGGTCTCATAGACCAGGGGTTTTCAAACTGGACCCCCTCAATTAACTGATTAATAGAAATCCAAGGAACCCCTGTGGGGGCTGTAAAAGGGCACAAAATATTAGGGGATTTAAGTAAATTCAAATATTAATGAAGCAATTTTATATTCAACAAAGTTTATAATATCATTTTATTAGGGATGCACGATAATATAGGAACGTTATTGGAATCGGCCGATAATGACTTAAAAAGTAAATATCGGCATGGCCCGATATGAAAATTTATGCCGATATGCCTTGCCGATAAGATTAATAACTCACGTGCTCAGGCTGTGCTAGGCTAGCAATAAGATCACATCAGCAGTGTGGTCATTCTTGAATCAGACTTTTTCGTGAATGATGATTAAATTCAATGTTTTGGATCGCTGGATTTAATTTGAGAATGCACGTACAGAATGATGCGTCCTTTGTACAATAGAGTCAGCAGTCCCTAGCACGTGCAGCAGCAGCATCCCCGGAGTCCTATTGCTCGTCCGGTAAGGCGTTTTATTTACTTTGGGGGTGCTGTTGGCCTACTTGTAATAAAATTAAAGTAAAATATACAAATAAAATTAAGATTGTGTTTCTGATTACATAAAACTGTAATGATGTTATAAAGTCACAAGTATGTTTTGATTTAAAGGTCAGAAGCTATAGCTTACATAAATAAAAATCACAAACATGACATTTGTAAATGAAATAATTTTATATATAAAGATTTATTCGCTAATGTGTTAAAAAAAAAATTCAAACGGATTATGAAAACTTAAATACAAGGAGCTCTAAAAGATTTTCAGATTTTTTACAACTATTTTGCTTTAGACTATCTAGAAATGTTAAATCTTAAAATAAAATGTTAAGGTTACCACTGCATCTGTCTGTAAAAAAAAATGCAGTGACTGATTTATAGTTGATTTATAGTTATTTTTAAAGCTTTCAATGTACTCTCATTATAAAATAACTTCATTGTTGTTTATTTAATTCTAACAAGAACGTTTTTGTTAAAAACTTACCAAACTTAAAAATAATTTGTTTATAACCTCTGCACAGGAGAGACTTGGTGTTGTTTCCAACAAAAGGAAATATATCAGTATCTGCATCAGCTATCGGCCAAAATTAGTTGAAAAACATTGGCATATCAGATATCGGCAAAAATCCAATATCATGCATCCCTACATTTTATTGTGCTTTCTAAAGACTGGTCCGAAATCATGAGATTACTAGTGATTTGTATTAAAGGACTTGTGAATTATTATTTTAATAGCACCAAATATCTGCTTATAGTTTTTTTGTAAAAAAATAAAATTAAAATAAATGTTTATTTCAGAAATGCTGTCAAACTAATATTTTATTTTAAGTTACAATTGTCTTTGGTACAGTGACAATATAAAAGATAATCATTTAAACAGCTACTGATGGAAACAATTTCCTTTTTTTCTTTACAATGTCACACTTAATATAATACATGGAGCTTAGACCATGAAATGACCTGTAAAAGACAGATTTTGATCATCTATGCTCAATTACTGATTAAATGTGTGAAAACTAATCAATCGAAATTCAATAGTTTTGCCTTTGTAGTGCATACAGTAATTACCTAAATATGCTTAATAGCACAGATCTCTTTTTCATTGTTTTTTGTTTGGTTTTGTTTATTTTTTTATTGTATTTGATTTGATTTGATTTGATTGTAATAAACTCTAGTGAAATAGAATAAAATCTCATCCACTAATATATCTCCAGCATATGCATGGTGAATAATCTGTCTGTCATAGTTACAGCGGTATTTTCTCTCTCAGGTAACATTGGGCCCGAGCTTTCCTTCTCTAATACGGGAATGTTCATCTCCTCTGATGCCGGAAACACATGGAGACAGGTAAACCACTCACCTAGTGTAGTCTTAAGATTACAAGCACCCTGTCCCTGATCACCACTCAAACTACCTGAAACTAAAAGAAATGTGAGAAACAAAGAAACAGAATGCTGAAATACCTTGTTGGTTTTTGACTCTTTAAACACTGTCTTTAGATTTTTGAGGAGGAGCACAGTGTCTGGTTTTTGGACCATGGAGGGGCTTTATTAGCTGTTACACAATCTGTTGTACCAACACGCCATTTATGGTAAGACAAAAAAGGATGTTTTTTTCCTTAAACACATATTTATAAATTCACTGCCTTGCAAATTTTATTGAACAACATCAATCCACAAATCTGATTTGTGATGCAGCCTGGAATCAATATGACACCATGTTCATTCATTTAGGCCAGAGGAGAACTAGTCCCCTGACTGAGCCTGGTTTCTCCCAAGATTTTTTCTTAATTTCTGTCACCTTGCCACTGTTGCCTTTGGTTTGCATAGTTGGGGTTTAAAAGACACTTAATATTCAAAAACAGTATAGATTTGATGGAACTAACACAGATAAGAACAAAACGTGAACTGAACTGAGATGATTAATGCCACTATCCCCTGTAGAGCTGCTTTATATAGCTGAAATAAATCTGTTCATAATTGACGTATTTTGCAACATTGACACTGTTGCTGAACTGAATTGAATCAACATTTACTGACTCGAATTTAATAACTACACTATTGTATTACACTATACTTCAGCAGAGCTGCTTATCACTGAATTGAACTTTTACACAGTTATTGAACTGAACTGAATCAACACTAAAATGACTGGAGCTAAATAATGACACTTGTCTTGTTGCAGCTGCTGTATAGCAGAATTTGGATTTGCCTCATTTTTAAAGTTTGCATTGATTTGGTTACTTTCCTGTTTAATACTGTGAAGCTGCTTTGAAACAATCTCTGTTGTATAAAGTGCTATAAAAATAAAGGTGACTTGACTTCACACATTATATATGTATATAAAACAGAGCACTAGCAAGATTATGCATTTTTGAGTTTATGCAGTTTATCTCTAACTTTTTGGATATTTTTTATTCAGACTAAGTTTTTGAAGTTCCCACATGCTTAAACGTCAGCTTTGATATGAGGACTGGCAGATATAAACAGCAGGCAATAGGTCTTATCATATCAAACATTTGGAATCCTTTCAGCGAAAGTGCCTGTCATGGCTTTGTAGTGCAGGTGGCTGTGTTTGCCAGGGCTTTTATGCTCACGTTGGGGGGGTTTGAAGCAGAGGTGGGATTCAGTGGGCTTCAGTTCAACATGTTGTTCCTGTCACGTCACACACGCGGCTTTGATGTGTTAAGCTCTGAAATGTTGTCAGGATCAATTAGGCTGCGGAAGATAATTTGTATCCTCCTGTGGCTTGCTGTTAGAACAAGAGTCAGATGTGTGTGTGGGTGTTCAGCCATCAACTCGGGTGACTTTGACCCATATCTACAACAAAAGGAACACCAAACCAGAAAATCTTTCCTTTCTACATGAAAAGATCCCACGAAGAGACTGTTACATCTGTTAGAAACAATAATAAAGAGAACAGTAAACCTTTAAAAGCATTGTGAAGATATACACTAGCATTCAAATGTTTTGGGTCGGTTTTTACGATTTTTGATGTTTTTGAAAGAAGTCTCATATGGTCATCAAAGCTGCATTTATTTGATCAAAATACAGTAAAAACAGTAATATTGTGAAATATACTGTGTAAAATCAGTTTTCTGTTTTAATATATTTTAAATTGTAAATTTGATCCTTCAGAAATCACACATGATCCTTCAGAAATTATTCTAATATGTCTATTTGGTGCTCAAGAAACCTTTTTTTATTAATATTAATGGTGAAAACAGCTGTGCTGCTTAACATTTTTTGTGAACCGTTTTTTCAGGATTAATTGATTAATAGAAAGTTCAAAAGAACAGCATTTATTTGAAGAAAAACTTTTGTAGCATGATAAATGACTTTACTGTAACTGTTGATCAATTTATTGCCTCCTTGAATAAAAGTAATCATAAAAAAATCATACTGTTCCCAAACTTCTATACACAATAAAGAGTATAGAATGGAAAAGCGATTGATGTTGTGCACTAATTGTGTGTATTAAAAGCATATCAATTCCACACAGAATGTGTGCTGATTATGGGATTTATGCAGAATTCGGCAGACTCAGCAATGTGAGAGAGTTGCGTTGGTTATTGAAAGTAAGAAAAAATAAATAAATTCTGCTGAAATGAACTTAATCTAAACTAAGATCCCCAAAAACACGACTATGACTAACCAGTAAGTTTAGTTTGAACATTCAATGCTCACAGAACAAAGAAAACAAGAGGGCTCTAAATTCACAAGAATAGGTGTCATGAACACAAGCAGGTGCTTTAAAATATAAGACATTCATAGAAAGACCAAAATCTGAAAACAAAACACACTGAGGAGCCACTTACCCAGAGCAAAATAATAAAAAACAATGCAAAGGACAGAAAGAAAGTACAATAAAGAGATGCGACATAAAAGAACAATGACATGTAAAATAGACTGAATGTGTAATGAGACATATTAAGCATTTTACATGACTAATAATGATTAGAGGGTAATGTAAACACAAGTGGGGTATGGTGAATGATTTTGTCTTGATATTTTTCAAAGAGCATATATTAGATTGGATTTTAATGTAATTATGCAGATGTAACCCACATAGAATGTTAATGAAGTGACTCCACAATGACTTGTTTTTGTGGATCCGATAAATATTCTCAGATGACTGAACAAATGCATCTTCTATTTTTATGTCTTTGTCAAATGTGCACTGTACAGTATATTAATCAGAATATGAACCGAATCTGCTTTGCCAGTGAAATGATTTGTGAAATGTATGTGTGTCTAGGATTAGTTTGGATGAAGGCCGGCAGTGGGACAAGCTCAGCTTTTCGTCTACACCCCTATTTGTTGATGGGGTTATGATGACTCCAGAGACTGAGAATCACATCATTACGTAAGAATCATTTCACCTCGTCTTCTCAGTCACACTGATCCAAATGGTCCAGGAGGTGTCAGTAATGAACCTTCACTTACTTGGGATCATTATTATCAGATTAAATATTTTCATTTGCATGTCTGCATGCCTGGACTATGATCCTCGCACTTTCTTGTACTGGTAACACTGACACTTCCTTCTTGTTAGTCATTTACGGATTTGCCATAGCAATATGTGTCCTTTAAAGGGTTAGTTCACCCAAAAATTAAAATGAGCCCACAAATTACTCACCCTCAGGTCATCCTAGGTGTATATGACTTTCTTATTTCAGACGAATCCAGTCGAAGTTATATTAAAAATTGTCTTTGATCTTTCAAGCTGTTTAATGCCACTCAGCAGGTGTTGCATGCATCAGTCCAAAAGAAGTTAAATAAAAAGCGCCCATCCATAAAAAAAAAAAAGTGTCTCACATGGCTCCGGGGGGTGAACAAAGGTCTCCTGTAGCGAATCGATGCGTTTTTGTAAGAAAAATATCCATATTCAAAACGTAATAATCACTTTAACGTGCTTGCGCCAACAGTCCTACACGGAAGCAGCTCCGGGAGGATGACGTACGGAGGTCGGCTTTGCGCATGCGCCGCTCAGAAGTGACGAACTCGGAAGCGTAGGGGAGATATCAAAACAAAACACCGGTCACTTATTAAAAGTACAAAACGAGGATATGTAAAGAAGAATGTCGGAGGATTTCGATATAAACCAAGAGGAGACTGGTTTTCCTTTGCTTCCTTTGTAAACAACTTGAAAGATCAAAGACAATTTTTAATATAACTCCGACTGGATTCGTCTGAAAGAAGAAAGTCATATACACCTAGAATGACTAGAGGGTGAGTAATTTGTGGGCTAATTATCATTTTTGGGTGAACTAACCCTTTAAGCACTTGTAAAGAATGTAAAAGTAAACCGATCCTGTTGTGCTTAAGGATCTCTATCCTCGTAGATTCTTCGGGCACTTTAATTACCACTCCGACTGGCAGCTGATAAAGATTGACTACAGCTCCCTGTTTGGGCGGAAATGCACAGACGGAGACTTTCAGACATGGCACCTGCATAACAAGGTTGTCACCTCACATTTATCACAGCACACCTTACTGTTCAGTCTCAACAGCAAAGCAGTAATTCACCTACTCAACATTCAACATGAGTTTCTTTTGACACTGAATTTGTTAGTAATTAGAGTGGCACGGGCGATTATATTCACCTCTGGGGTAACATGCCCAAGCTGAATGGAAATGAATAGAGTCGTAATGGATTTTTACAACAGATCTCAGCACATAGTATTGGTGACATGTTGTCCATCAGCCTTGACTCTCACTTGTGGTTTTACGGAGTTTCAGAGTCAGCATCTATTGCATGTCAAATCTGTTTCCTGGGAAGCACAATACGTTTTCTAAAATTTGTACTAACTACCGTATCCATCCTCAGCTAAGCAGAATAACTAGAAAACATTTTTGTCACTATTCACGCAGAATTGGGCTACTTTTACACTGTTGCCTTGGGTTGTTTTGTATTCCGCGGGTTAAAGCAAAAGCTCTTTCAATGGAGGAGACCCCCAACGGAGCGGAAAACTGCAGAAAAAAACGTAATTGGGCTAGTTCTGAATAGCAGTTGGGCTTGTTTTGTTTCACAGACCTGGCAACCCTGCTTCCTGTGTGCATTTGTGAATATATATGTATTTATGTTATCTTCCATTGCAATACATTTGCCATATTCTACATTACATTTACTATAATAGCTTTAATAAAAAAAACAGAAAGCTTTGACAGCCTGATTCCAAGCAGCGTTGTTATTGGTAAATAAAACTATTAAAAATAATTTGTTAATTGACCTATAGCTGTGTTAATTTACCTATAGCTGCAATAAAATAAAATATAACGTAAACCTAAAAACACAACTAAAAAAAACTAACGGAAACCAGAAATGTTACCGAAATAAAAGTTTAAGTACTAAAATTACAAAAACTAAAACTGAAATATAAATTAATTAAAGCTATATATAAATTTACAAAATTACAAACAAAAAAAAAACCTAATAAAAATTACAAAAGAATGTAGCAAAACTAAAATTTAAATGAAAACTGAAAATATTAAATAAAAGCCAATGCAAAATAATAATTAATATTTTAATAGTATAATAATACTAAAATAACAGTCTTCCATGTGCAGTTTGGTGACTTTGACTGCTAGTTATTTAACTGGGTATTTATGTGCATTTCAGGGTGAGGTGTGTGTGATGGGAGAGAGACAGGTGTATATGAAGAGGAAGCCTGGCACACGTTGCACTCTGGGTCAGGAATATTCTCGAGTTGTTTCAGCTGAGCCCTGCATCTGCACCCTCTATGACTTTGAGTGGTGAGTCACACGCACGCATATGCATACATGCACACACATGGAAAAGCAGAGCAGCTGCTTTTCCAATGGAAGAAATGAGTGACAGTAACTCTTGCGGATCAAAGGACTCAGTGTTGCATGCAGAGAACAAAAGCTGCAGGGATCCAACCAATTATACAGATTAATTAAGTGGCATTTGAATGTAAAAAAACAAGGTTTTTCCCTTCTTTATTATTATTTGTCAGTTTTTTTTTCAGTGCAGTTTATGATACTGTTGCAGTCGCTTAAATTAGCTTGCTCTTGAGGCAGCAAGGTAAAAACCTGGTTTTACATCAGTCTGTCATAATCATATCGCTATACTGATGGAGATTTTACAAACCCACCCCGATGCACACGGAGACACACTCCTGCGCTGATCATAACGACGACATAAATCTCCCTTGTACCACACACAGACTCCATTAGAGTCGTCTGCTTACACGTATGAATGAGAGGTGCGTAAAATTAGCATAATGTCAAATGATTAATTATCTCCAAATGAATAAGTAATGAATATTTAAATGGATGATAAATGTGGCAGTGATCTGATTAGCCGGAAGGAGCTGGTGTTACTGAGTTTAGCCCTGATCCCCTACAGCAGTTTATACCTTGTAAACACACTAACCAATCACAACTTAAGGCTACAGTGCTGCTAAAACGTTACTAAAACAAAAGTTGATGTTTAAGTTGAAGTACTAAAATTGCTAAAACTAAAACTGAAATAAAAAATTAATTAAAACCTAAATAGAAATATTTAAAAAATAATAAGGACAAAAACACATAACAAAATAACTCAAACTAAAACTGAAAATATTAAAATAAAAGCAAAATATTAATTCAAAATATTAATAAATATATAAATAATACTACAATAACACTGTTCCAAGTGCAATTTGGTGATTTTAACTGCTGATAATGTGGCACATAATGTGGCAATAGATGTGTAGCAAGTTGCATTAATCTTTAGAAATTAATAAAATAAAACCGATAATGGTGGGTAAACTTTTAATTAATTTTCAAAAATTTAAATAAAAAATATATATAAATTTAAATGTTTGTTTTTAAAATATTTAGGCTGCCAGTTACTCTTGTAAGTGCAATCTCTATAAAACTATTTCTTATAGCAAACAACTGGAAAGGTCAAGGAAAAATCATAGAAATATATTTGTCAGAAAGCGTGGGAGCCTTTCATGTAGCCAACACAAGAACAATACAGTAAAAAATGGTTTTAGTTGATCCTAAGGTGCGTGAGAAAACCATTGAAAAACTTTTATTTTACAGTGTATGAAAAGTGCAGTCTATACAGCATATATCTAAGCCACTTCTCTCTATAGACTGCATCATAGAGAGGAGCTTAACCAAACTGAATAATTGATGATTTTCCCTGCAGTGATTATGGGTTTGAGAGACAGGCCAGTGGAAAATGTGCACCTGCATTCTGGTATGATGTCAATTTACCAGCACACACCTGCAGCCATGGACAGCGCTACCGCAACAGCACAGGGTAACACACACTCACAGATACACAAATGCACACACATTGCAGTATGACCCATACGTGCAAAATGATTCTCTTTGTGATAGTCTTCATAAGAGTGTTTGTGTATTAACTACATGTCTCTTTTTGTGTTTCTGCTGGTAACAGAGGGTGTTTTCTAAAGTCTTTGTGTGTGTCGGTGCAGGTACAGGCAAGTGCTGTTGAATAACTGTAGAGAGGGTCTGAAGGATACACTAAGTCCCAAAATGCAACAGTGTAAACCCATAGCACCCAGTGGCCTACAGCTGAGCACCATCAACTCCCAGCTCACTGCTGTACTGGGAACCAACATCACCTTCAGAGTAGCATTGCAAAATGTGAGTCAGCAGGTGCACAGACACACACACAAAGTCATTTATAAGGTGTTGTGCTTTAGATTAGTGGTTCTCAAACTTTTTAAGACCAACTTTACGAGTAAAACAAATTTCCAAACCACCAAACCCCTAATCACATAAGGGGGTCTCATTCAATGTCCTTTTCATCAATCTTGCCTTGTGCCACCACCAATCCATAATTTTACTAGGCTACTGCTTTTCATTTCAATGAAATTAACTAGACTTACTAACTAGGTTAGAAAAGAACTTGCATACTCAATTGTTCAAAAGTTTGGTGTCAGTTTGGGATTTTTTCAATTAATAAATAGCACAAAAGCATTAAATTGATCAAAAGTTACAGTATAGACATTTATATTGTTACAAACAATTTCTATTTCAAATAGCGAAATGCTATTGAATGCTGTTTTCAACATTTATCATAATAAGAAATGTTTCTTGAGCACCACATCAGCATATTAGAATTATCATGTGACACTGAAGAGTGGAGAAATGATGCTGAAAATTCAGCTGTCATGATAGAAATATATTACATTTAAAATAGAAAACAATTATTCTAAACTGTAATAATATTTCACAATATTACTGTTTTACTGTGTGTATATATATATATATATATATATATATATAAAACAAATGCAGCCTTAGCTGATATAAGAGACTTTTCAAAAACAACATCTTTCCGACCCCAAATTTTTGAAAGGTAATGTACACTGACACATAACTCACTGTAGAAATATGGTTAATGATATTTATTATTAATGTCACGAAAATAATTATAAGCTAATTATAGCCTATTAAATATTGGGTCAAATAAAGGCAATAAGTCACTTTTATAAAGGTTTACTAATACTATACGGTTAACTCTGGATTCAAGAATTAGCTTTTCATTAGGGCAACTACAAAGGAGAATTTAATAGTTCTAATAAACTTTAATTGCAGAAAAATATGAATTCAATAATTAGGAGCCTGCAATATAATGAAATATTAACATTGTTAAATGCATTTTAAGTATTCAAAAATATAATTTGTTTTCGTCCATTATTTATTAATAAATAATTTATTTATTCCAATTGCCCTGTGTGGGCCAGATGGGCTGAATTTTAGCACCAGTCCGGCCCTGATGATTCTTCTCTTCTAGGGCCAGAAAGAAGACCTTCTAATAATAAAATTATTTAAAATAAACTCCTTAAGGGAGTTGTATATGCTCAAAAGTTGTTGCTGCTTCTGGAAACCTATTTGCTTTGACTTCATATCTAGTGTTAATGCATTTATTCTTTTAATTTATTGTAGCCTGGAATATTTAGTGTGTATACTCATTGTATCTCTGTGTGTTGGAGATTTGATAAAAAAAATAAAAATAAAAAAAACTAATTATTCCTGTGGTAGAAAACGTTGTGGCACCAGGATACGCTACTATGAAGGGGGGCCATTGGGTTTGCTATAACCCCAGGGCCCTATGTGTTCTTAATCCGGGCCTGACTGCCGTCACTATAAAAAACTCTTTCCTGTCAGACTAAATTACCTCTATGCCACTGACTGCACATCTAGACAATCTATTTCAGAACCAGTTCTCAATCAAGGATGTGTAGAAGAAGAAATTGCTGTTGTGTTCGGTGTTAAATGTGATCGTTATTGACTTCATATTGTGTCTGATGAGATATCACGTCCGATGTGTCATGTTTAGGTCCCGTGGAGCGTATCTTTCTTTCGGCACCGGTGGTCGTCATCAGAGGAAACGAGGCCAACTTGACAGCAGTGCTGTGGCCCAGTCAGCCCAGGACCGCTACTTTCTACTGGTGGTTCAGTAACAGGACAGAGGTTCAAACGCTGAGAATATATATATGTGTGTGTTTGTGTTTGTGTGTGTGTGTGCGTGTGCGCATGTGGCCCAGAGGTCCAGATCGGTTAGGCAGATATTCCAGTATTACTTTTGACCTCTAACAAAACAAGGGCTTTGCCAAATATATTGTGGTTACCAGGGTCAAATAGGTAAACCTGTTATTAGGATGGATTTGGATTGGATTTTGGCGGGGATAGTACTGTGACACTGTGTGTTTCTCCCCTTTGCATTATGAACATCGGCTACCAAAAGAAAAAGAATAACTGAATTCCAACTCTGTCAAAATAGTTTTTGATGAATGATAGCCATATTTGGGAAAACACAAGGGGAAAATGCATCCAGCTTAGAAATTGGGCGAGTTAAAAAGCCCAGATATAATTTTAATTATAGATAGCTTGTCACAAGGTAGATTTTTTTATTGGGCATTTACTCTATTGTTCAAAATTTTGAGGTCACTATGATTGTTTCACAATATTACTGTTTTTACTGTATTTTTGATCAAATAACCCCACACTTTTGAACAGTAGTCTATATTGTTAATATTGCTGACATATTTTGTTTTTACCTTTGTTTCATCTCAATCATCTCCAGAGATCACAGACTTCATTTTGACATCATTATACTGGTTTCTTGAAGGATTAGGATGGATTTAAACTATACAGTTATTATAGGCATATGAATCACTATTTTATGATGCTTTCAAACATTACTGCATTATGTTCTTAATTACACTATGAGATCATTCAGTTCAGGTCTGTTTAACATTTCGGAGGTGAAACACATAAAAAGTGGCAGAGCAGCTTTGAATGATTATGCATCTACATTTTAGAGCATTTTCCTGCTGGAAACCTGCCGCAGAGCAGTTTAAAAGCATTTAAAAACTCTTATACAGAAGCTTTGTTTTATAATCGAACGTCCTGTTTAGATTCTCTCCATAAAATAATTTTAAATAATATTAGCTGTTCATTTCACCCTGTGTACCTTCCTCTTATATATATATATATATATATATATATATATATAAAATA